AAGTCAAATGACACGTCTGTGGCGTAGCGGTTCACTGTCGCACGATGGAGGGGAGACCTGAGTCCGATTCCCGAGTGGGGAGAAAGTTTAATTTATCAAGTCTTGCGCTTGTACATGTAGCCTATCTTTTCGGACGTTGTATCCATCTCAGCCTGGGTTGCCAGCCCGCCTTCTAAATGATCTAGATTGTGTCTTTGAGCCCACCATTCTACAAATAAATTATGATCTAACCCTATCCGTACGACGTACTTCTTGTTTTACTATAGTATCCATACGACGTGGGAACTCTGTACATGTACCATCATTTTCCAAAGAGGAAAAGTACTCGTTAATCCGATCCGCACGCTTTGCCTGGTAGTCTGTCAAAATGATTTTTTGAGAAATACTGAAAGTTTCAAAGAGATCTTCGTACTAAATCTAGAAGTAGGCCTACATGTATTAAAAAATGTGAAGTATACAACCCCGGGGGTACAAAATGACCCCAGGGCGTACGGATAGAGTTAAAATATACAAGTCATATACAAATTGTTTCTTTATTAAAGCTTAACACGTTAAGAACAGGCCAGATGTATCGTAAAAATGAATAATGGGCTGAGAAGTGGTAGGGTTAATGTGACTTACCTTCTTTTTCACTCGACCTCTTCAAATACTATGATATCCCGGTATACATGTATAAAACTCTGTGGTCTGCACTTAAATAAACTGGTGTCTGTGGTGTAGCAGTTATATGCTCTTCGCTGCCGCATGCAGGAGACCCAAGTTCGATTCCCGAGTAGGGACAAATTTATATCGAGTACCTCTGTCTTTATAGGTGGAAGGTGTTTGTCCGTGGCCTATACATCATAATACATGTACCCTGGTGCAGGGTGAAAAGGGCAATGATGATGATGACCTCTGTCTTTCTGCTGGGATGTTGTAGCTCGGGTCGGCCTTGACAGGCAGGGTCAGAAGCACGCCTCCTACTAAATGACCTAAATTGTGTCTTCCAGGACTGAAGAACAGCTGTTGGTCTTGTGTGTCTTTGTGCCTACCATTCTATGAATAAGTTACAGCGTTCTTTCTCTAATGACGTCATAGCGACCTGGCCCCACAGAGAGTGGAGTACTCTCCTCGGGGTCACATTTGGGTCGCCGTGACGTCACGCGCAAAGGACGCTTTCCACTTGTTCATGTAGTCATGGTTGGGGCCGTGTGAGAAAAGGGGGGGTCCAAATTAACCTTAATCGACCTCCTTTCCAAAAAAAAAAGAGAAAGGAAACACATTTCGCAATAGGTCTAGATCTACTTTTACTTTTGTGTTCTTCCCCCACGGTAAATGTGTCGGAGCTCATTGTGTTCTTCCCCCACGGTAAATGTGTCGGAGCTCATTGTGTTCTTCCCACCACGGTAAATGTGTCGGAGCTCATTGACTCCAAAGTCTTGAAATTCCTATCAAACGTCCCTCGTCCTTATCTCCCCTTCTTCTTTTTTTATGTTTGTTACTCTCTTGTGTAAAATCTATAGTCTTCTGGCGCTCATATGACCTTATGCAGTTGCGAGCGCCGTAAAACCTCTGCAAGAAAAAAAGTCTTGAAGCAACTCAGAGGTGTCAAAGGCTGTGTTCTCTACCGAAGTGTCAAAAGTATTTTTTTATATTTTTTTAATGTCGGTTGGTTAAATCATTTCTCGAACTGCACTACTGAGATGAAAGGAGGAGCTCGTTCTTTCATAGTCCCAGAAAGAGAAAGTAGTAGGGATATTGTTTCTGCGTTTTATTTCTGTTTTAAAAGTCCTCGAGGGGGAAGCAATGATTTTTAGCCTACGGTACTCTTTTCGGTCTTGAAATGACTTTTTCCAAAGTCTCATACGATCATCTCGATGGATATAATCTTTAAGATTTAAAAAAAACTGAATCAACAGAATAAAATAAATGACAGAGCAACGTGGTTGCAGTGTGAAAATACTTGTAATTTATAAAACGAAGTTTATGTTCTATGCCAATGTTGTCTTATTCGAGAAAATTCTAATTGGAAGCATTCAAAAACGAAGATCAAACGATGGCGTCACAACTGAAGAGCGATTGTTTGAACAAACGAGACACAATTACATTGATCAAGTTGTTCACAGACAAAACAAAAAAAAATCAATTAGTGTGCGCCGAACATGCTTTATTGCCTAAACGCGAAAACAAAATGCAATAAAAATTGTTTTGAATAATATATTACTACAAGACCCAGAAAAGAAAACATAGGTGGTGGGGGGGGGGTTAAACCCATAGATCTGACATTTCACCAGGGAAATAAAGGGGGGGGAGGGGGGAGAAAAGAAACGAAAATGCACAGATATTAACTCATTTCGCCAAAAAACACTCTTCATGTTCATGTACATGTATAATACATGTACAGTCAACTATAGATGAGTTGATGAAGTCGGGGGAGTGGAAAAAAAAATAACTCATCCGAAGTTCAACTTAACCGTTAGGACTTGTGTCTAACTGTAGTGTAGAAGAGGTGATGGGACCCGAGAAAAAGATCAACTTAACCGAAGATCAACTCAAGCGAGTTCAACACAAGTGGTGTCAACTGTAAATTGAATCTTTTTGTAAAATCACCTTTTTGTAAAATACAAGTACATATAGTATACGATTTCAAAGTCTCAATAATATGAGTTCAGAAAAATGCATTGCAATTTTAATATTATTTAATACCAATCTATCAATAATTAATACGTGTACATACAGTGCAGCCTCTCTATAACAACATCCTCTATATAGTGACATGGTGCCCAGGTCCCGATTTTTTTTTTATGTCGTTAATAAAACATGTAATATTTTGGTTGCTTCTCTATAACGACATTTTTTCTGGTCCCGACGATGTCGTTATATAGAGGTTTCACTGTATAGATAAAGCATGAAAGAAAGAAAAATGGTCAGTCTATTTGTTGTGGACATCGTGGAACTCGAAGGTGAAAGTGGTCATGTACAGCTGCGTGTCTATGGCGTGAGCCAGAATCTCCACGTCACCGCTCACACTACGGGCACAGGAGGGTTTACCTGTGGAGGTCAAAGTTCAAAGGTAGACTTGTGAGTAGTTAGCGGGTGCTCTTAATTGTGGCTTGCTCTTTTTTCCCTATCAAATATCTATCGTCTTTATTTCACCTCCCTTTCTTTGTTGGTTACTTTCTTGTAACAGTTGTTATAATCTGCGGCACTAATAATAATATATGACCTTTTTGTATTACAAATGCAAGTGCTCTAAAACGCAACCAACTAAAATTAAACTAAAGTAACGGCAGAGAAAAGACGGGCTTGATGTCGATCTCGCTGTGTGTGATGGTGCCCGCACCGACACATGTGTAAAATACATGAATTGTAGGCCTATAGTATGTTGTTTGTCTTGATATACTCAGATGTTTTTTTGCTTTTTTCCCCCTTCCTCTTTTTGTTTTGGTGTTGTTGGATGTTGTTGTTTTTTTTGGTTTGTTTGTTTGTTGTTATTGTTGTTTT